ATTTTTTTTTATGTCAGACACTGAAAAGTGACAGCGACATTTTTATATGACATAGGCGCCAGTGGATTTTAACAGCTGGAACTAAACAGGTCACATTGTATGGATATTCAGGTGGGAATATTGACTATAGGATTACGCACAGGGTCAATATTTTTGGTGGCAATAAACAAATTTGCTTGCTTTTGCCTAAACTGGTAAACCTAGTCAGCAACTGAGTCATCAAGGCTGAAGGCCGCAGCCACAACTCGACTATATTTCAACTGACGAAGGAGCTGTCTTAACAAGTAAACTACAGTCCCTTGAACAGAACTTAGGAGGGCGTAAACTAAATGGATTAGGTAACAAGTGGGCATCACAGACGGGGGGAAACAGGTACATATATTTGGTGACCTCAGTTTGTGTGCTTACCAGACCTAACAGTGGACTAGAGATACTACACTGGGACTACATAGAACACCATTGCCCTTAAGCTGGACAAAATACTTGCTACATAGCTATATGGATACTGGGATATACTTGGACGTGTGAAGACAGCAATCCACGACAAGAGAAAAATTTGCAAGTTTCGTCATCTCCTTTGGAAAGCTGTAACTTTCATTTTACCTGAACGTACTGCATGCTAAAATGCTTGTCAAATTCACAAGAGACATCTGCAATAGAGGACTAATCATATCACCAATGAAAACAGCCTTACATTAATCTGACATACCAGCATATGTGCTGCAGAACAACACATTGATAGCAATTCTCCCAGTTTATACGCTAGACATCAAATCTCCAATGGCCAGTCAAAGGAAATCAGTGTCCAGCATCTTCCTAGACTGGTCAGAGGAAGAGTCTGAAGACGGCAGCAGCATCGCCTCGTCCGTCTCATCCAACGGCCCCATGAGGCTCCTCAGCTGCGGCCATGCACTGAACGAAGACAGCATTCAGAGGTTAAAGAGCAAGAAACACTGGTCCAAAGTGACCTGTCCTGTCTGTCAGTCAGAGACAACCATCCAGGGACAAGATGTGAATAAATCACCTCTAGATATCAACAACACTAACTTATATCGTATGGTGCGGGATGATAATATTTCATATCGTAATCACTTGGTATTGCAAATGGCACAGGAAGCAGAGGAGGGGGTTACGCTAAAGAAAGACGTGGACTTAAATGACCCTTCTTCTTGGTGTACCTGCAGGCAAAAGCAGGAGGTGCAACATTACTGCGAGGACTGCCATAATTTCATCTGTGATAGGTGTTCTAAATTGGAGCACCTATGGCACAGGGTCACGAGTCTCAAGGCCATGTCTGAGCCACAGAGATCCAAAATAGGCTGCGGCTTAAATACCTTGGAGGAATATGTGAAAGAGTTAGTGTACATCCAAGAACAGTTAGGTCTACACGAACGCAACAGCAATAAAACTTATGAGGACACTAAGGCACTAATTCTACACCAGGGCGAGACAGTGAAGCAATTGGTCAATCAAACATGTCAGGATCTCATTGGAGAAGTTGACAAAATAAAGCAGGAGAATGAGAAGATCATCCATGAGAAAAAACTTGAAATTCACAAGAAGTTAGGCGAATTAGGAAATCAAAAAGAACGAGCGAATAAAGTTCTCCTGGGTGGCACAGACAAAGCTGTGCTGGAAGAGGCGAAAACTTTAAACAAAATTCTTGACAACTTCGATCTTCTTTCTCCACCAGCATACAAATTCAGGATCAACTACATCAGGCCTGAGGTCTGTCTTGAAGACATGAGCCCTCTATTGGGCAGACTGAAGCTCATTAAGATCGAATGGGGTGGCAAGGTTGACAATCTGCGCAAGGAGGGCTACCACAAGGAGATATGGAGTCACACCAATGTCACGCCCCTTAAAATAACAGAACGGCCACTACCCACCTTACCCCCAGATGCCAACAGGGTCGGGTCAAAGTCAGATACAAGATTTCGGGCCACTCCCCCTTCCCCGACCAGCCCTACAGCCAATAATATGGTTAAAAACTTGAGAATACCACATGAACGGATATACGACACAATTCCCGACTCTGGTGAATACCTGATGCCTTCACCACTGAGGAAGCCGCAGGGAGGGTCAGCACCACAACTGACGGCAGGCAATTCAAGCCCAGAAATCCCAGAAACCCCAGAGAGGGTCAAAAGGTCGCCATGGGTAAATGTGCTTAAAAGGACATCTGAAATTTCTCTGCCTGATATACTGACTTCTACAGACTCTACAGCCTGAGAGTAAAATTATCCCACTCCCTATTTCAGCTTTCTGCACCCTTAATGTGTAAAGAGATGTGTATAGTTTGCTATCCACACATTCTTATTTTAAGACCCATTCACATTTGGGCTAACTTTTCTCAGAAAGACTTTTCTTGGTGTCAATTCTGATAAAAACTGTGCTTTGTTATCAAAGTTAGCCAGGCTCGTACCCAGTGGTGATGAAGGTGACACACAAGAGAATAGAAAGTCTCACCACTTTTTTCAAGATTATAATTCCTTTATTTAACTTAAGGATTTATGAGAGGTGCTGACCCAACCTGTACATAAACACGCCTTCAGACTCCATAACAGCTTGATAGCTGAGGGCAATAAGACTTAATACTGTGTTGATTTCCATAATGATTCAGATTTAAAAATGACTGTGATATGCATGCTTCATTTCATTTAACTGTATTAAGAAAAAAAAATACTGATTGTTTTTATTTACACAATGTTGGCAAGCTACATGTAGGGATGATCTACAAATGATTCCACATCACAGCTTTGAAAAACTGATATATATGTACTATGTATATATGTATTTCACATGATAAAATAATAGTAATTCTGTACATGATAAAAAAGAGAAGGGTAGGTGTTTAAATGTGCTTGCCTAATATTAAGTATATCCTGTGCAGACTTTAATTTGCTCTTATGGGGTTGTTAATCAGCTAGATTTGTCTATTGTTATACTATTGTGTACTTAATTTTAGTCAAAATGCACACAATTTTACCTGATATTTTGCCAATTTTTTATCATTCTGAGTCACAGTTGTGCAATGGGAGGAATTCATATTAAAAATTCAGACAAAGTGCCAATTGCTACTGCACTCAGTTTAACATTTTCTTTTATCAAAATTAACAAAATAAATAAATAAATAAACAAAAGTAAGAGCATCTAAAATGTTGTGAAGAGAAAAATTGTATGTGAAGATGGCCAGGTGACTGGTTTTTAAATTTTCATGACAGAAAAAAAAGTTGCTTTCACGTTGAAAAGTCCCTAAGTAATGCTGTCAGGTGGGATGAAAAACTGTCAACTTAAAAAACTGACTCCACCCTGGAACTCCTTAACAAACAAAAAAAGCTCAAGCTGAATCTTGGTCTAATCTTAATATAAACTTAAAAACTGGTTATATCGGAAGTTCAGAATCAAGTGAATTTTTTCTAAAAGAGACTAATTGTGTGTTTAACCCCTCAGGTAAGATGCTTCAACCCCATCTCTGTTTACTTTTTTCAGTCATCACACAAAAAATTAATAAATGAAACAATATCATATCAATGAAATCTGCAGTTGGTCTCCAAAAGAAATGACCTGTGAATGTGAAGGGGTTCTTTATCCAATTAACTAAGTCTGATATTCTTGCCTCAGTGGTCTGGCTGTTACTGCTGTGTCTTAGGTCAAAGTGGGCTAACATTTCTGGACTAAAACTTTAGACCAAATTTTAACTGATAAGAAGTTCAGTTTATGAAAACAGGCTCTGCACTTGGTTCAAATTCTGCCTAAACAGACTACAAGCAATTTTTTTTAGCGACCAGTGCAATTACTACCATAACATAATTTTTTTTGACATAAAAGTCACAATGCAAGTACTCCTCTTACTGTGACAAATCTAACATAAAAATGTACAGTTTTAATTTTATTTAAAATCACAATATACCGCAGGAATTTAATGTTAGAATTTCATATTCAAAACAATATACATGTATTTCTTGATTTTTGCCTTTGAAGGAAGTCTTTCTTTTTTCTTTCTCTCTTTGCCCTTGGTGATGTAGTTGCGATTGGTCTTGGACCCAAGTCATTTGATGCCGCAGAAGTCATAAGGGTGGACAATGATCAAGTGAGTGTGAAATATCTGAAGAAAAGAGGGCAAGTCCTCACTGAGTGGTTAATCGAAGGAATGGACTATTTGGGCAAGTGCCACATCAACTCAGTAGTATCATGTTTTCGTAACAAAAATTACATTTCCAAGGAAGAGATGGACAGAACTTTGGACATTTTAAAAGAGATTTTTTAGGACAGACGCATCAAGGAAATTATACAGCAGGGAACTTGCCATATCATAAGAATTTAAGGATCAAGATAAATGTGAAATTGATACGATTTAATTTATAATTGTGAATACTGATGTGCCTGTAATTAAAGTGTTACCATGTTTTAAAAGTAAAAAANAAAGTAATTTTGTGATGATGTATGACTCTCAATTGGAAGCCAATTTATGAGGTTTAAAAGCTGTCAGACCAGTTTTGGATGCAATTTGAAAGCATTTTTTTATCTGTGGCAAAATAAGCTCCCTGACTCATGAGAGCAGAGAAAGAAACTTTTCAAGCACATGTCAGATTAGAGAGTTATCATTATTTTTTTATTCTTATTTGCTATCCAACTGTTCATGTTGTGAGACAGAACATGTTATCAATTAAAGAATAAATCAAATGACATATCATCACTTGGGGAAGCATGATTTGTTATAATAACCTATAAATTAATGTGGTAAAAGTTAAATAAGGGATGAACTGCTACTGCTGCTGCTACTACAGTCTGATGCTCAAGAACCTTTCTCCACACTCCCTTATCTTCCATGCCATCAGTACTCAATGTAATTTAGTTTTATCAGTTACTGTAATAAGATAAGTCACTGCACCAGCATCAAACATAGACATTCATGCAAAAATTTTTTTTAATCAAAAATTGATAATTAGTAATGTAACTATTCTACAATATACATGCAGAGACCTCTGTCCACTTACCTTGACCAGGACATTGACCGCCTGAAGAACGCCCTCTTGTAAGGGAGTCATGTTCATGTCCATGTTAGTGGGCAGTATGAAGGAGAAAGCCTCGCCAGCCACGGGGACGCTCAGTGCACTCTTCAACACAGCCGTCAACTTCTGCAAATCTGCACAGCCAAACCGGGACCTGATGTGCTCAAAAAGACCAGGAAATATCTGAACTAAGGCAGTGAGGAATGGTTGCGCTGGTAGGTATGGATTTGTAGCATTACTTGAGCTAGAAGGAGGCTGCGTTGAGGTTGTTCCGATGCTCAACCATACCCTCCATGCATTAGACCACAGTGCTATATCCAAGCCAGGGTCTGTCTTAACTTTTGTTTCACTGCTACTCAATTGTCCTCCTTTGCTGTCTGTTCCATTCTTGATAGCATCACCAGCTGATTTTGAATCCTCACCATTTTGTAAAACTTCTTGGAGACTTTTCAGCGCTGCTAGAGCGACTTCTGCATTGTGGCAAAGTGCTGCACTCTCTATGAATTCTAGCAACAACGCCCAAGCTCTAGGAAAATCACCTAAAATAAATAAANGCCAGCGCTAACGCTGGTGGTACAATAACTGGAGGAAAACAGTAGTGTAATAATCTCCTATAGACACTCAAGTGCCACTTTTCATAAATTTTTTCTTTACAAAAGTGATGTTTTTATTCAACTTTCTAGGCGTAAGCTAATATCTCTAAATATCTATAAAAAGTTGTTTTAAAAGGTGCTAAAAGAGTAAAAAAAGCATTACCATCAATAACATTATGACTGTTTTTAATGCAGGTAAATCCATTTTTTGCAACTGCCTGTGTGATAAAGTGAACATTACATATTAAATAAAGCTTATTTGAATTTAAACAAATTGAAGAACTGAACAAGTCAGGTCCATGACATCCATTTACCAGCTGTTAACATAGGAAACAAACTACGAAATATAGCTCGTACACACGAGACAGAAAACAAATGTATAAAATAATCTGTATCATACTTAAAGCATGCTGCAGCACGCGTCTCTTGCCACTGACCACCCTGGCCACCCCCGCCAGCGCCATCACCCGCGTCTCCGCCCACTGCTTCTCCGCTGTGTCCCTGGAGTGGTGGATCAGGATATTTCCCGTGGCATCATTCGATTGCTTCACACTGGACGCTGTCTTGGAGAACTTCTGTACTTTGTCCAGCAGTGGGAATAAAACCTGGGGAGAGTTTATATAGAGAAAAGATTCTGTTCAGACTGGGCCACTCTAGACTGAGTATAGGTCTAAGTTGCATTTTTTGATGAACAATATTGGACTGATTTCCAGTTTACAGTAGGTTTAATCTGGATAAAGTTTATTTTATCATTTGATTTTCTTTTATATGGAGAGGGGGTAGTTATATACATAGAGACCTTGCAATGCAATTCTTTTTTCTTTTTTTGATAAGCATCTTTGTATCTTTGTATGTTTGTATAGCCTGGGATAAAAGTGGACTTTAAAAAAATTTTTGACCAGAAAATGTGACTATATGAAGGGTCCTAAAGGCCAAAATATAACATCAAAATGTCTGGATTTCCACACAAATCAGGAAAACTTTCATCTGTACATAACTCTTTGAATTTTTCATCATAAATAAAACCAGTCCTCCACATCTCGTACCTGCCATAACACCGCCTGCCATGTCGTCTGCTGTAAAAGATCTCCATGTGCCCCGATGGTAGAAAACAACGTCTGACTGCTGCTCTTCCTGACTGCAGGACGGTGGTCTACACACAGCTCTCCAAGCTTTGAAAACAGACACATCCACAGTGCATCAAAAGGCTCCACTGCATGACTGGACGCCACTGCTGGTGGCTCCACCTTCAGGTCATATTTAATTTTTTCTCGATTTTGAAAGAAGAAGTCTGATATATTCCACTGAAAAGAATAAGATTAGTATTAAATTTTAATATACTGCTGAAAAAACTTACCATTAAATTACTCTGAAAACGATGGCTGTCATTTTTTTTTCACCTTGCAAAAACCATCTAGTTATTCTTCACTCAAAAGCAGCTTTAGATAAGAATGCCACAACATACATGGCTATAAATATGTTCATAATGTCATACATACAAAATAATTATCAGGGTAATCTTTTGTGCATTTTTAAGTATAAGTTTCTATTTGAATCAGTATGCCTTATCCTATTCTCCTTGAACAAGACTGCCTACCAATAATCCCACAGATGTGAGGCTGATGTTCAACTCCTGGTTTTGAAGACCAAATCGTCCTGCGACATCCACAACCACCTGAAGACAGGAAGAGGGCATGATGGGAAGGAAGTCAGTGATGACGAGCTGCAGACTTTGGAATGCTGTCCGTATCAGATTTTCTCTGGAAAATGAAATGGATAGTAATTAAGCATAAGATGTCAACAAACAATGACAACTAGAAAATGCAAATCTCAGTTGTTAAGGCATTATAAAGGAGGTCTTATTTGATACAAAGTAACACTTTCTTACATCTATAGTAATATTTTTACAGATATTTCTGTTAATTTATAAAATTTATCCTTCCATACCAAAAAAATTTGGAATAAAACACTTCACTAAGGGAAATAAAACACTTCAACTGATGGCAAATAAAGAAACCTCCAACATAATCTTGGTCTGTGTGAGTTTGCATCTGTTCTATTAACACTTAGGCACATATATATTCAAACAAACTCCCAAGCCCATATGCACATCTGCATGCACATATTCTCACACACTTTGTCATTTATTTCACAATATCATCCAGATTCTTTACCCCTGATCATTAGAGACAGCTCCTATCACCCCGAGGACGCAGGGCCAGCCTGGGCCCAGGGAGTCCCCATTGTTGTGTAGTATCTGGAGCACGCACTCCAGCTGTTTCTGTCTGATGTCAGGGTGTGGAATACTAGACAGCTCCTGGAGGGGGGACAGCAGCATGGACTGCAGTTTCTGGAGTGGACAGAATATTAAAATTAAATAAAATTTAATAATAACAATAAGAAGAAGAAGAAGAAGAAGAAGAAGAAGAACAAGAAGAAGAAATTATGGATTGAAAAAGAAACAAATCAACTAAAATGTTGAAAAGATCATAGCAGACTGCAAGTTCAGGATGAAAGAGAAAAATGTCTCAAATACCAAATATGATATAATGAACTACAGTTTCTGGGAAAATAGTTTACTGACATTTTAAAAATCAAAATGTTAATCAATAAATATGTAAATCAATAGAACAGTGCCGTGTTTGCCTCCTGTTCAAGGCAATATGGGATGTAAAAATTCCATACTTGTACACAGATGAAAAAAATCAATTTTTTCAAAAGATGTATTACATGTAAAAAGCACTTTCTTTTTTTAAAGTGTTACTACCCCAGTGAATGCATCAAATTATAAAATTAAAATTCCCAAGAGTCATATATTTGTAGCTCCTACAAACTGTTCTCACTTGACAATGCTTTAGATGTACTCTCATACCTCAGATGCCAGTCAGCAACAATAACACAATCACCTCAGTTGCGTTAGGTGAGACTCACACTGGTGTGACACAACCAGAGTCCATCAATTTGTCTGCAGCTTCACTTTAATTTTCTTCCAAATATGAGAGCATGGCCATCACTGTAGACTTCATTACAGAACCCATTGTAACCTTTATCTTATTTGACACTTGTTCATATTAGCAGAGAATTACTGATATCTCTGTCCTATAATCTATTTCATGGCAAAAAAGCAAAAGATGAAAAAGGTTTGAACTTGATTGATTGGCTCTGTTGAAAGTTGTCTATGATACTGAAGATTTCAAGCCCGCTGTGTGAGAAAACCACTCCCAAAGTGAACTTGTCTGCAACTTCATCCATCATTCTAAATATCATCAGTGATTTCTCTATTTTTTTTCAGAAAGAGCAACTTTGAGGGATCATAAAATGGAAAAGGAAAGAGTTGCTGAAAATTGAACGGCATGCAATGACACTTAAATAAGTACGGACGTTTGTATCTAGATTTGTCTTTTAGTAAACACAATGGTTGTTGCATTCAACATTTTTTTTCTTGCAACAACCTGCAAACAATTTCTTGCAAACTGTTTAGTTTGCATCAAATTTGTGGAAAACTTTCATTTTGCTGAGGGTGGCCACCTGCTGTGAACTCTCTGCAAAGTCTGATATAAACTTCAGCTTTTCTGCAGTGTTGCTAAATTTGCACCATTCATTGGGCACATGATGTCCTTGTGTGAAATGACTTCAATATTCAGATTCTTAAGGCTTGCTGATATTCTCTTGTGGTAAGACTTGTAACAAAAGTGGGACAAGAATTTGGCTTCTGTGTTGTGTCCTACCATTTTACAAGAGATCTTCAGTGGAAATATGGTAAAAACTCCAAGATCACAACTCTTAGCATACTTTGCTCAATGAAAAAACCTGTTTGTAGTTGGACCATCATCTCCCCCAAAAAAGGTTATTAGACTGAAAATTGCTTTTATTTCAGTGGACTATACTTCTACTTCCATGGACTATACTTCTCAGTATTAGTTATCCCACACATGTTATACTTTAATAAGTACTCTTAAGTTTCCAAACTTTAAGTTCTGAACTTTTTTATCTAAAATTCTTAGGGAAACTGGATGCTGGTCAAACTGGTCAATATAACTGGTCAGTATACGTGGATAGCTCATAACAAGCCTACTGCTCTTTTCTTCCTACTAAACAGTCCTCAAATATAAACCCAGTTTTTGTTTTAAATTCAGAAATATGTCTATAAGACCCCATACAGTATGCCTTCCTGTAAACATGGCTGCGATGCACTCTGTCAACTCTGGGCGCATTTAGAACCAGTTGATCCGCAGACTTACCACACCGCAGATCAAAAATGGCACGCACTTGACAATGAATTCCTGCTTCCCACTTGTGTCATCCCAGCAGGGGGCAGAGCAATTATATCCCGGCATCCTTTCAAGTGGGTCACGCCGTATTTGACCTGGGGATCAGTTAGTCCTAGGATCAAGTGGTTGAGAATGCTCTCTCTCGGATGTCTGTAATGGGTTTCTTTTAAATCAAAGAAAGTGGAAATAAAACTCCAGGCAGACTGACTTCTACTTATGATCTCTAAGTGAGAAAATTAAGGAAACAATTCATCAGATTTTTGTAACCGTAACTTTCCCTATTATCTTTGCGAAATAGATTAATGTTCCAAAAACCTATTCCATGTAATCATTGTATTGCTTTTTTCCCTAGGTATGGTAAAAAAACTGCCAGTAAAAGCTTTACCACCTGAAAAGTAAATAAAAAGCCATCATTTTTTCCCCAGATGCTCTCTGGGTTTCTGGGCGGGGGAATATCTGTTAAGGTCAGACTGATAATTCTAGAGCAGCTGAGGTGACTTATTACAATCCTTAATCTGTTCTGTTCCAGACACGGGTAATTCGGCTGACATTTATGCATGATTCTCCATCAATACATTATCTCCAAAATGACTGACCACAGTCAGAAACTTTGTATTAAAGTATATCATTCAACCAGACTTGGGGTAGAAAAATAAGCATAATAATATTAGGATACAATAAATAAATAAATAAAATTAAAAGAAAAGAAAAATCATATTACATATTACTGTATGACAAGATTTCCAGCACAGTAGAGTAGGCTATGTAAAAATTGTCTGGGGAGAATATAACATGTCTGGCAGCATTCATTAATTTATCAATTTCTATCCTTTAAATGTAGGAGTGTGTCACAATTAAAAGGCAATATTCTCATTTAGTGCTTCATTCTCTTATCTAACAGAGTGATAGCAGACTTCATTTCTGGCCGAGGGGCTCAGTCAATGCTAAAATCAAGATGCATTTTTCGCAATTGAAAACATTTTTTTTTTCATGTGCTAGTGTGATTATTTCTGATCAGCATCAATCTTATTATCTCCATCAAATTATATCTGAATGAATTAATCAAAAAAAGAATAGGCTGTATTTAAACAATAAATCATTCTCATCATTTCAGTTGCAACAATTTCAGGGACACCGAAATGTTCAAATCTATTATTGATCAGTTTAATCATAAAAAGGACGGAAATGAAAACATGACAATTTGTTTAGAGCTGACAAAACCAAAAAATAAAGAGAGAGAGAGAGAGAGAGAGAGAGAGAGAGAGAATCAGGTTTGAACACCCTGGGTGTCAAGGTCCCTGTAAACCCCCCTCTCTGCTTACCTTAGGGGCCACTGACTCTCAGGGAGGTTTTGAATAAGCAAAAATCTTCATTAGCTTGGTAGTTAGATCATAAATGAAAATTAGCAAACACAAGCTGAAATACTTTCATACCATTACTCACATCAGTCTGATGAAGGCCTATGTCCAGGTTGTCCGTAAGCTAATGGTATGAAAGTATTTTGGCTTGTGTTTGATGATTTTCATTTATGAGGTTGTGAATAACTTACCACATTTTCATTGAGGGGAGGGTCGTAAGCGTATCCCAGCGAAGACTTCACCAGGGACGTCACTGCCTCCGCACCCCAGTATCTCATTGTAGGATTCGGGTGTTGACAAATCTAAAAAACAAAAATGCAAATTGTTGTTTATTTTCAATAAATTTAAGGTAAGAAATCTTATATTTCTCATAAGTAATATTCAAATTTTATCTTGTAAAATCCATGGATCAATTGATGTATATAAAATCTTCCACTCCAACATCTGAAAGACAACATGAAATGGTGTATGACAGCATTCCAAGGAAAGTTGATTTGTTGCTAGATAGAATCTTTTATATATAACCAGAAATAATAAATCTTGCCGAAATGGGACTCTGGAATAAACAAAGTTGGAACATTTTAATTTATCACCATCCTGGCAAAGTTTACAGCAAATCTGGAAAGCAAACTAGAAAAAAATAGTAAACCCCTTTTTTTCAGGACAAGAAGTGATCAAAGCCTTCACTTGTGAGAGCATTTAAAACAAAGTTGATCTGTGGACTAACTAGTCCAGGTATCAAATATGGCACGCACTTGACAGTGGATCCCCGCCTCCCATGCATACCACCCCAGCAGGGACAGAGTAATTAAATCTCAGAATGCTTTCAAGTGGGTGGCGCCATATTTGATCCGTGGAACTGTTTGTCCGCAGATCAACTTGCTCTGAATGTACCCTGTAACATATGGGTTAATATTTATTCACTTCTTGCAGATACGATTTAATCATTATTATAGCTTCTGTGTCCTTACTACATCTCGAGGAGGGTTCTTAAGTTGGGCAATCAAGAAAATATAAAAATCAGAAAAGGTATGATAAAGGCCAGTTGCTTATACTATACCTAAAACATATGAAGAAAAGGAAAATAATTTAAACTCCAACTGAAAGATGACCTTTTTAAAAATCTGGATATACAACATCAGAAATGGGCCAACTTAAAAGTGATAAAATTCTGGTGTTGATTCCTTTGTTAAATAATGGTTAATTATTAGTAAATTATTGGTCTTTGCAGAGATCTGCATTCCCTGAGTGCTTTTCTAGTTTTTAATATTATCTTAATACCTTTCATCCACAAATTTGTGAAGTAATAAAGAAAGGCCAACAACCTCCTTCAAAGTATTTTCCACAATAAACTGTCTAATAAACATCTTATGTGAAGTATTTATGTCATCATAAAACCACTGGAAAAGCAAACAATGGACTTAATAGCAGTGTTCTTCAGATTTCAATCAAAGGGAATATATTTTTTCCGCCATGAATTTGTCATTTCATCATAAACTTTCACCACAATCGTCAGAATTCACTTAAGCTTATAGCGATTTCCTGTTTTTCATTTGACGTATAATACATTGTAAAGGTCAAAACCAACTTTATGGAAGGTAAGAATATTGTAATCTACCCCAGTAGTATGAAGGACACATTAAGAAGCTTTGTGTGCCCTCAATCATATACTCAACCCAGATTTATTGAAACTGGTAACATGAATCATAGGCCATTTTGACTTAATGCATAATACTTATCTATCTCACTTTATTCTTTGCTAATATGGTGTGTGTGTGTGTGTGTGTGTGTGTGTGTGTGTGTGTGTGTGTGTGTGTGTGTGTGTGTGTGTGTGTGTGTGTGGAGGGGGGGGGTGGACTCACCCACCAAAATTAATACAATTAACTGGCCATTTTGAGTCCAGGCTCCCTTGTCAGACTCTCAAAATGGTGCGAAACAGAAAAGATACTATATAATTATGATAAGGTTTATTTGGGTGCAAAGCTGAGGACTGTGGAAGTATTTTATTCACACGTACTTGAATGAAGTCAAAAATAAAGGCAAAAATAAAGTGTTGGCATTTGTCAGGTGTGTGTGAAGTTATCTTCACGAGTTTCTCAATGGAAAGTAAAAGAGATACATGTGAAAAAATGTCATTTTGACCAGCAATTTGTAATAAATATCTGACTGAAATTGAATAAAGCAACCTTTTTGATTTTGGAACTGAGATGGCAGTCCTGTTGTTTCTGACACCGACATCCCTCGCTGATATACTGATGGGAAAAGAACCTGAACCATATCTCAGTCCAACAGCCCCTCAAATCAGCAGCCCTTAGAAAACTACTAATCAAAAACAATACTGACTATAACTCAAAATTAAATCTTAAGGTCATGTAAATATTATCTCAAAGACTGTTAACATTACCAATAGTCCATTTACATTAATTGCTCTGAAAAATCCTTTCCTTTTGCATTGTTTGGGGGGGGGGGGGGGCAACAAATATACTGGTCATTGTCTTAGACTACTGGGAAATATTCTTTTGCATTTAATAACATCAGCCAAGCCATCACAAATTTGGAAAAGCAGTTTCTATTAGTTTTAATTCAAAGTCATAGCATTTCGAGATTGTTCCAAAATATGTAGCAACCAAGGGTTCCAACCAAGTTGTCCTTGAGTTTAATTTTCAGTAACTCTGTCCATCAATTTCTGATCTTCTCGCTTCTTGAGTAAAGAAATTCCACGCGTTGATTCCCCTAGAGACAAAACCTTTATGAAGAACTTGGCAGAGATAAACTGATATTAAATCAAGATAGAAGGCCCATCTTCTGGTGTTTTTTTTTACCCAACATGTAATCTCTCTGAAGAAAGTACCATTAATTCTTAAAAATAAATAGACCTGCCAGATTTCTATTTTTTTCTAAACATTCAAAACAACTCTTCCTTATTAAGGGATGGAAAGCTGGTGCAATTTTTGAAAATGTTTATTCTTTTTGCAACATTTTTTTTCATTCAAAGGGTTCAAGTTTCTTAAATGAAACCCATATCAGAGTCATATGGCAAGGGCCATTTTACATCTTCTGTTCAATGACGGAATTTATGACAAACTTTCCTGATAAGTTACCATTCTGCTGAAGTTGCTCACAGAAAAACTAATATGAAGTAAAGAACACGTCTTATCTCTGTCTTTTAAAAAATTCTAAGATGTCATGTGTATGCTTGATTTATTTTACATAGCAAAGGTCAAGGTGGTCATTTTATTTCCAAAAAATTCTTACCCTACCAAAAAAGCTCAACTTCTTGGGGTTTGTCTTTTTACAAGTATTAATCCAGAAAAAACATTCTTACAAAAGAGTAAACAAACAATCACTTATAATGCAAATTTCATTCATGAAAGTCAAAAGTCAAAGTGTGCAGAAAACACACATATACCAGCAGTCAATGCTAGTCATAGATCAAACACTTTATAAAAGATCCTTATTTCATGACCTTTGACCCTTGACCTTTGAAATATACGGAGACAAATTGGGAGTTCAATTTTGAGAAATGACACTGTCACTTGCATTGATCACACAATATGTTATCCCCTTCTTGTGCCCTGGGGGGGAAGGTTTGGGTTACGACCCCAAGTGACCCGACTCATCGCTTGGTCGATAAAGTCATGCCTCCATATGATTTTTCTGAGATAATAGATACTCAAGTTATCTCTTTCTTGGTGAATTGTAGGTCTTTATTTGTGAATTGTGGGTTATTTATTGTTAATCTAATTTGTGTGGGGAGGAATCCAATCTAAAACTCCAAAATATCCTCAAATCAAAACAAAAAATGGATGGACTGAATGTCCAAGGTCATGGCAGATTGAATTTGCAGCAAAAGTTGGTCAAGAAGGCAGGGGACTTTGGGGAGAGCCCAAACTTTTGGTCAAAAAAGATCCACTCAAAAAAAAAAAAAACTACCTCAGAATTTGATATTGATGGCCGCAGGTAGGCCCTAGAGTCTGCATTCCCAGATACCATTTGGTGGAAACTAAAAACCAACCAAAAACCAAGAAATAAACTGAGTGAGCAAGTCTTGACTAATAAGCCTAAAAATTTATAAAAAAAGATCTTTCAGATTTGTTGAAGCAGATCCAGAAGACTTCCGGAGAGTGTCCTCAATCTACATCAAAGCTTTTCACACTCCACTTGATTTGGTGATGGAAGCCAAATGGGATTCTTGCTTTGGCTTTTTTCTGTACTTTAATATTGGCAATGGAACAGTACCAAACAAGGCCTTGCAGAAACTGGAGGTTGTTCACCGATCTTCATTTATCTACACTGATCTTTATCTATATTTTATTAACAACACTTGGATGTGATAAAAATTTAATTTAAAGTTACATTCATACTGGCATATATATACTGACAGTCAATGAAAACACATCAGTAAACTTTCTTGTACTTTTTACCGAGAATCGATTCCAACCATATAAACGAGTATAAATGCACTTTTGGTCATAAGAGAGTCACCTTGTTTGACTGAATAATGGGTCATATTTCACACGAAAACTTATTTCTTAATGTTCCAAAGGAACTTAAAATATTATTTGATAAATAAATGATGCATTTTCATTGACTGTCAGTATATATATAGCAGCAGGGGGGATCTCTGGCTAGAAATACTCTTTTTGGACAAATTTTGATGAAATACAACAAAAAAGCAAAAATAAATATGGAAAAACTGAATGAAGAAAATGGCAATTTCTGGTAAAACTTTGGCAAGGCTAATTACGAGGTGATATCATAGCAAGACGTCAGAGGCAAAACCCACACATCATTTTAGAAACAAACACAAACAGGAGATTATTACATGTAACTCTCAACTGTTCCATTGCCAATGATTCTTGGAAAAACATCCTGTTTAATTACCAGTATCTCAATGCAGAGCAAAGTAAATTAAATACATTCTCAGGAGAAATTACAACTTCACAAATCAGTTATTTAGTTGGAATCACTTCAAATCCTTAGGTCTAAGGTAGATTTTATCCTACCCTGAGTCTCCAAGAACTGAACCAGAGAACAAATAAAGAATCTAAATAAAATTAAGTCCATCTTTTTGGGGGCTTAAATTGCTCTCCTACTAAGCCTTAGACAACTACACTGTTTTATGAAAAAGTATCTTATTGGCTGCCAAGCCCCCTTTTTTTCTCTTTCAAGCTTTGCTCCCTGACAAATTGAGATTGTCTTGACAAAGATTTTTACTCTCATGGCTGACAGAGGCCCATTTAGGTATGTCAACTACATTGACAGAGGACCAATCATTCTTAAAAGCTCTAACACCAATACA